AATATTAAATATATTTATTTAATTACAAGTTAATATGTAAAATTTTGTATAATTATATTTTAATTCAAATGTATCAAATTGGTATATCATGCTTAATGAGATGACCAATAGAAATAAATTATTATTTTTTAGATATTAAGATAACTTTATTGGTTTTTGATTTTTATTAATGAATTTTTTGGTAATATGATTTTATGAACTATTACAGAAAGAGTATATAATTAATTATATATATAACTTTTCTATATTACTTAGTTAAAAAGTCTACCTAAAAATTCTTAATCAATTGTTATATTCAACACCTTTGTTTAAATATTTTATTTTAAACTTTCTGAACCTATAATTTGTATTAACATTACTAAGTTATATTCAGATTATTATTTTAAGTTTAGAACTATTTTATTTTTAAAATAAACCTCTTAAAATCTTCTGTACTTATTTTTATAACTAATCTAATAAAATACAAATTACTAACTCTTTCTAACAATTAATTGTACCAAAATTTTGCTAAAAAAATTTTTAATTTTCTTTAACAATTTATATTTAAATATATTTTTTAAATTAAATAAAATGGGGGTGTGGCGACCTAGTGAAGTGGTCAGGTTGTCAACCCCCAAGTGGTAGGTTGGGTGTTCAAATCCCATCGACAGTGAAAATTTGGATAATTACCTATGTAATATTCATATTACAGCAACTGTTACTAATGATTGAGTTAGAATATCTGTAATAGTAGTCACACCAGCATGACTGGCAAGTCATAAGACATCTGTATAAGTATAGTGTTACACAGAGGAATGCAAACTAACAAATCAGGCAGTGCAAACACTAGATAAGTCCTTGTGCCATGTAAATCTGTTAAAATTGGATAACAAGAAGTCCATTTGGAAAGACTTGAATAGAGAGGTAGCTGGATCTTCAATGGCCCTACTGTAAAGGCTAACTTGAGGAAATAGATACCAAGGTTATAATATCTGATTGTAGTCGCCAGACAGGCAAGAACCTCTAAGTTGGAAGTCTCAGGAGTACCACCAACTAGGCCATCAGAATGAACTAAAAGAAAAGGATATTGGGCTGACCCAATATACCGATGGACTGGTCATAGTCCAACATGGGCTATCTAAATTGGAAGTTTAATAAAAAGGCAAATGAAAAGGCAGGGATATACTAAAATATCAGGATTATGCTGTAAAGTAAATACTGGGGTCTAAGTAAACTCTACAAGGGCATAGTAGTTTAATGGTTAGCCCTGATCGCAAGTGTTAGTTCTGCTATAGTGATACCTAGTTCAGCTGTAAAAATGGGTACAGAAGGCTCTGAGAGGTTTACCTTGAGGATAAATTAGTTCTAAAGTTGAAACAATGATCTGGGCATCTGAATATGATCCAGTGAGTTAATGCAGATTACAGATTTAGAGTCTTTAAAGTAGAACATCTAAGCAGAATTGTTAGGTATAGCAATTAGTAGAGAACCTTTAGGTGGACTCCTTAAATAGGTAATATAGAAAAGTTATATGTATAGCCAATTGTACTCTATCCTGTAGTGGTTTATTAAACAACAATACTGATAAGTGATTAATAAAAGTTAAAAGATCAAAGAGGTCACCTTAATACCAAAAAAAAAAAATTAAATACTAATATTTTTGATTTTACTTACTGTATATATTAGTTAACTTGCATTAATCTAAGTATATACATTATTAAGTAATACTGTATAGTATACAATATAGTAAAAAACATCTAATATATATAAAATTTGTAACAAGTTTTTAATTTTTATGCTTAATAATGCCAAAATTAATTAATTTGTCTGTTATATGTAGTGAACATTAAAAATCACATAGTATACTTTGAAAACCAGCCAATAGACTGATTTAGTTTATAGTTCTCTGCTAAAACTAGTATTTTGAATTAAAATCAAACTAAAATGATCTATAATATCTCTACTTATTACAAGTTTATTACAATATTTTTGTATTTTTAAGTTTTATACAACCTAATTTTATATGTGCTTTTAAATCTTAGATGCAACATATTTTTAACTCTTTATTTTAAATAAACATTGTACTACAAATTTATATAAAACTAGAAATATATTTAATTTATTAAATATTAGTTTGTATAATATACAATTCAATAATATTACAATATATATATTTACTAAATACAATATTGTATTTCTTATTTGCATTGCAACATCATATAACTATTTTATTTATTTATTTAGATTTGATAACTTAAATAAATGTTTATTTGAAATTATAGTTTCTATTATCATTATGTATTGTGAGTCCTAAAATTGATTCTATTGTTATTATAGTTATATATAATTGATCATCAAAATAATGATCTGTTCTTTACCCAAGTAATTAATTAAATAAAAAGTAAAAGAAATTTTACTTTTTTACTTTTATTATTTCATGTAGATTAATAATATATAGAATTTTCATTTTTTCTTTATAATAATAAGGATAAAGGTTATAACAACTTTTTTGTGTAAATAAGTGATGTAAAAGAAATTAACTTTGAATTTAAATAAATTCTTTTATTATAAATAAAGGCTTCTTGCTCAAGAGAAAAAACAATAAACATATCCCAAGTTAATACATTTGTATACATAAAACTAATTTTCCAACCTATAATAAAAGTGAAACTATTAACTAATTTAAACTAATAAACTATTATTAATCTAATTGTTATTACTATTACTCATATGTAAACCACTAAGCTGTAAATTGATCATTTGAACTTCTGTAGTTCACTTACAAGATTTTTTCTAGCACATAATTCTAGCTAATTAGATTAAAGAATTAAGTATAATATAAAAATTATGTCTTTTTAATAAATTGCTATTAACTTGAAATTTTAACTATAAAACTGCCTTTGCATTCTAATAAAAAAAATTCCTTGTAAAATTTTAGTATAAGCCATACTCTTTTTTATCCCTTACCTTAATCTTAAAATGATGTTTTTTATTTTAAAATCTTTTGCTTAATTCAATTGTTTTAATTTTATATTACACCTGATCCTTTAATATAATTGGCTAAAAATCATATACCAGAAAAAATCTTGTAAATGAGCTATTATTAATGATCACTCACTATAAGTCACATAACCAACAAGGCCATAATGTCATAGAAAAGTTTCAACCCCAATTTAACATAATGGAATCACAAGTTGAGATAGTAAAAAGAAGACAAAAGAAGGCAAAGATTAATAGAAAATAGGTTGAAGAAAAGACTCAAAGCAAAAACTAGTACTTACCTATAGAAGAACCTATCAGCCAAATCTAACATGCCTGTTTTAACTTAACTGCCATAGGTTATATAAGAATTAAAAAACAGTTTCACTAATTTACTGAATAACAGTATATAATATACTAATACAATCAAATATACTATACTTATCTTTAATTTCCTTTAAATATTAGAAATTTTATTGTTTCTAATAGTTTATATAGCATTATTATTATTTGAATTTTGGTTCAAAAGATAATATGCAAATTAAGCAATAATACAGTATTTTAAGCAAAATATAATATGCAAGCTAAGTAATATTATAATGTTCTAAGCAAAAACTTATATGTAAGCTAATCAATATTATAGTATTCTATTCATTAATAATCTGCCTATTTAAACAGTATTAGAAATATGAAGTAGTATATCTTATTCATCCTTACAGTTTTCTTTAGTAACTAAATTAAATGCATTACCTATTCTATTTAAAATAGTTTCTCTATTTCTTAAACAATTTCTAGCAACAGAATCTTTAATTTTTGAAAAACAATTTTCAATAGAATTCAAAAAGATGGAATAGCCTGATAGATATAATATTTCATAGGTAGTATCTTCAATGCTTTCTTTACTATATTGGAATAGTAAATATGAGCATTATTTATTACCAAGTACTTACTATTTAGAACAATATTAATAAGTTCATGAATAAAAGTAGAAAAAACTTCAGTATTTGTTGAATCCAAAATAGTCTTATAGTGCAGAACTTCATGTTCATTCATTGCAGCAATAATTGTAATATTTTTGCTTTATTATTTACAACTGTATGAATTGCTAGCTGCCCATAATATGCTTGTCTTCTTGATAATGAAAGATGAAGGTTAAATTTAGTTTCATCAATATTGGTCATATTACTATAAATATTAATATTTTGTGTATAGATTTTTTCAATAATTGCTTTCTATATAGAATTGTTTTATTAGTATTAAGACCATCTGGCACTAATATAAGTTTCTTTAAAGTAAACCCAATATCTGTCACATATTGTTTTTTTTTTTTGTTTGTTTTTTGTTTTTTTTTGTTACGGGGGGGCGGGCGCCGCACGGCAGTGTTAGTAGGGTGGATGAGGAGCGGAGAGCGG